AAGCAATATAATTTTTATTGTTATAATTTCAACCCAACTAGAGGAAAAAATTGTTTGGATAATTTTTTTGCTAATTGCCCACAAGGCCAGGTTAAGTTTTGCAGGATATTTACGTTTCCCTTTTCTGATCATGATGGTATTTTAGTAGGAATGGAGTTTAGGAAAAATAAACCCCCATCTCAAAAAATTAGAGACAACCCAATCGATGATGAGAGAGGTAAATGTATAGATTTTGTGGTTCCTAAGTCTGCTTTTGAAAAAATTAACTTAAGCCTCTTGTCTTATAATTGGGAAAAACAGTTCTTTGGTAACTGCTTCACAGATTCACAACAAGCCTTTGATATGCTTTTTAACACAATAATTAACAACCTATTGCAATTTTCTGTAAAAAAAAATAAACTTCATAAAAGTAAAGTAAACAAAAAATCTGGTTGGTTCACCAAGGACTTAAAAGCTATGAAGGAAAGAATTGTGTTTCTGAAGAGCCTGCTGAAAACTTCCAGCCAGCCAGTTTTAAATCTTATGAATTATTTAAATGATTATAAAAAAAAGTACAGGCAATCTTTGTATAAGGCTAAAAAGGTGTATAATGCCAAATATATCGAAGAAAGTAAAAATAAATGTAAAGCGGCCTGGAATATAATTAAAACTCATAGTTGTGGTTTACATAAAGCAAACAACCATCACATTGCACCTGATGTCTTTAATACCTTTTTTGTAGAAAGTGTAGCAAATATTAAAAAACAAATCGGTAACACTAAATTTACTTCCAGTGATTTTCTAAGAAATACAGTTATAACCCCAGATCTTTTCCAATGGAAACTTGTAAATCCTGAAGATATTATACGGGTTGCTAAAAGACTTAGTAATTCAGACAGCTGTGATGTATATAATATGAGTAACAATTGTCTAAAAAGTATTATTCCTAGTATTTCAGTACCCTTGGCATATTGCATAAATTTTTCATTGATTGAGGGAGTCTTTCCAGATCAGTTAAAAATATCCAGGATATGCCCAGTTCATAAGAAGGGCCCAAGGAACGAACCTTTAAGCTACCGCCCAATTTCAATAATTCCAGTAATTTCAAAAATATATGAAAATATAATTCATGATCAAATCTATTCCTTTTTTGAAGACAATAAAATTTTCAATCATTGTCAATTCGGGTTTCGAAGGGATAAATCAACAGTCCAAGCTGTAGACAAACTAGTTCGTGAAATTATTTCTTCCTTTGAGACCAAGTCATATGCCCAGGCCACTTTCTGTGATCTTAGCAAGGCATTTGATTGTGTTGATCCAAATGACCTAATAAAAAAATTAAATTATTATGGAATTACAGGCTCTGCTCTAAAGCTCATAAAATCTTACTTATCTAATCGAAGACAAAGGGTTTACACTGATGGTCTCTGGTCTCAAGAAATATCAATAAATGTGGGTGTGCCCCAGGGTTCGGTCCTGGGTCCACTTTTGTTTTTAATATGCATTAATGATCTCCCAAATTCAGTTAATTCCTCAACTATTCTTTATGCAGATGATACAACCTTTTTCCACAGTAATAATGATTTTGAACAGCTAAATTTATTATCAAAAAATACCCTCACCACATCATCAGACTGGTTCAAAGCAAATGGGTTTCTCTTAAATGAAAGTAAAACACAGAATGTTGTTTTCAGCCTAAGACCCCTCCCTAATAGCGGGACTGATATCAATATCGCAGTTGGTTCGGTGAAGTTTTTGGGCATAAAAATAGATAGTACTCTTACCTGGGGATCTCACATTGATTATATAACACCAAAACTATCAAGAACAATATTTCTCCTAAGACGCCTGGTTCATTGCTTGGAAACAAATTCTGTTAGAACTGCCTATTTTGCCTACTTTCAATCAATAATTAGATATGGATTAATTCTCTGGGGTAACTGCAGTAGAGTGGATGAAATCTTAATTCTCCAAAAAAGAGCCGTTAGGGTTATCGCTGAATCTGAACTTGATGAACATTGTAAACCTCTTTTTGTTTCAATGAAAATTCCTACTATTATTAATCTGTATATCTTTGATTTAACTGTATATGTAATAAATAACACACAAATACTAAAATTCCATGAACACAGATATAATACTAGAAATAAAAATCATACTTCCATTGACTACCACAGGCTCTCAAAATCTATAAACAGCCATGTTGTTGTAGCTCCAAAGGTTTACAATAAACTCATTGGCCTTATCTCAAAATATGATGTCAAACAATTCAAGAGAAAGTTTTATAACTGGTTATTAATAAACCCACTTTATTCACTTAATGAGTTTTTTTCTTGCCAAATTGCTTTCTAGATCGTTCTATACACTTAAATACAAATCCCACACTCTATTAATTAATAGTCTATATAAATCATTCTTCACATTAAAACTATTATTGAAAACTAATCCTCTCTTTTTTCATTAAGATATGATGTTATCAGAAATTATTTTCTATTTTATCTGTTATTGATGTTCCAGGCCAGCTTGAAGGAGAAATTGTTTGTTTAATTGTTTTGTTCTATATACTATAAAATTTAAGTTTAATTTTATATTTACATCTACTTTAATTTGCTTCATGACAATTTGTAAAATGCAATCTGACCTATCCTATTGTACTTTATTGTACCGAATGGAAATAAATATATTTGATTTGATTTGATTTGATTTGATTTGTATGAAAACAACTTTTTGCAAGCATTACCATTTTTGACCTCCACCAGGGGACGACCCATGAGGAGTAGGTACATAATCTTTAATGTAAGCAAAGGTTGATATGCACATCATTTAAAGGGTTAGTCAAGTGGAGTTCATTGCTGGAAATCACATCTCAAAAGGTTCTCCGGTTACGAAATGGCGGCTGTCCAAAGTTATTGTGGAATATACCTGCACAGCTGAAACCCGGTTATACGAGTATTTACCAATATTTAAGCCTGTGCAGGTATATTCCACTTCCACAATAACTTTGGACAGCCACCATTTTGTAATGGAAGAACCTTTTGAGACGCGATTTCCGGCAATAAACTCCACTTGACTAACCCTTTAAAATGATGTGCATATCAACCTTTGCTTACATTAAAGATTATGTACCTACTCCTCATGGGTCATCCCCTGGTTGAGGTCAAAAATGGTAATGCTTGCAAAAAGTTTTTTTCATACATATAAGTTGATGTGAAAGGTTTGAAATTTCTAACAGATTTAGTTAAAAAGATATTAAACAGTTTCCAGACTTTTTTGTCACCCTGTTTATAGATTTGTTGTAATAATTTTACAAGTTTGACATTTACTCCCAGCACTGTGAAAAAACACATATTTTTCAACTTTTTTTGTTGTATAAATTATAAACAGTTATGTTAAACCTTGAAACTCTGTAGTATAAAATTTGACAATATCTCCTTTTATTTTATTGGTTCCTCGTAAAAATATAAGCCGTTTTGGATGTGTGGTATCACAAACTAGACTATACAAAAATTGTGCACTGGCAGAAGAAGGTATATTGTCTGCGCGGAACCGGAAACTATGGAGGAGGCACATTAGGTTATCATACCTCCGAAAAAGCTTGTTCGATTTGGACGAGAGACCTATAAAATGAAAAGAAATATTGTCAAATTTTATATTACGGATTTTCAAGGTTTTACATCCCTTTTTATAATTTATACAACGAAAAAAAGTGGAAAATATTGGTATTCCTTCACAATGTTAGAGTAAATCTCAAACTTGTAAAATTATTACAACAAATATATTACAATTACAAGCTTAAAATGTTTATGGTATATGGGAGGGTTATTTACCAACACTTTTGTACAGTTTCATAATTTTAACATTAATATTCATCATTTTCTTGAAGAACCTTGTTAAAACTTTGTTATCTTGCGCTTAAAATCCCTATTCAAAGCAGCATTTTAACTATCAAATGATTGAAAGACTGACAACACGTGGTGTATAAAGAATATAATGTAATGGAGATGTGTGATAAGTTTATATTTGTCAATCGTTTTTATTCCCGGGCGTAGGGAGGGCACGACGCATGGACTAGGCAACGCTGGACGCTCAGTGTTGCCTGTTCGTTTGCCGGCGTAAGTGATTCTCGACCTTCCCTCGCATCGCGGGTCTCATATGTGGCAACAGCGCATTAATACCTACCCACCTGATTTCATGGCCCCGACTATTTAACCAATATGGGAGCTGTGCCCGCGACTGGAATACTACCCCCCCTAGCAAGTAATTTTAATTGGAGTAATTCCGTTTGATGACATAAAAGGCATGTGGAGAATATCAAACAGAATTTTGATATGTTACAGCAAGTTTGGTTGGTTAGGTTAGTTTAAAACAGTTTGACAACGAACCTTGAGTGTCCGTGACTGGAAAACTGCCCCCCTGATCTCTGACATCAACATGACGAAGGAACCTGTTTGGGGGGTGGGGGGCTAGTTGTCCGTAGGCAGTCTTCTGGCGACCCAATAATTGAATACTGTTATAACAAACTAGCTGCAAAACACTGTTCCTGACCACATTTAGTTGAAGATCAAGTTTCAAAGAATATTAGACTCAACATGATGGAACCTGTCCCCTGACCCTCTGTCTACCTGGGGACTGGCTAATAGGTTAAAGCCCAGGCCAGTCTCAGGTAGACTACAGTTGGGCCAAAACCTGTGCACACGGATGGGTCACTACTAGCCAAACTAAAACATATAGGTACCGATTATTGACAGTGCTGGGGGGTAGGGGTGAGTCAGTAGCATGACACAAATGTTTTCACAAAAGTACCCCCGCTAATCCCCTCGCCTAGACACAACCAGATCTGGTTGCACGCACAGAAACTTTGGCCGAAATATAAAATACGAAGGGCCAAGAAGTAAAACTTGTACAACCTATTGTTTTGTTTGGCTTAACCTGATTTTTTCTAGGAGCCTAGTGTAATGATTGTTATTCAACTTATGTAATCAATGGCTGCTTAAAAACTTTAAACCAGTTACCCTTTTCAGAAAGTGAAATCCTCAGTGTAATGTTGGAAACAGAAGGCTCAGAAAACTTGCTTTGCAATCTGTGTAAGGGAAAAGGAATCCTGCAAGAGTCTCTGGACCTGAATTTTATGTCTGGTGACAGATTGACATTTGAGTGTCGGGGTCATGGACGAATTCATCTCACAGGTAGGCTACATTTTATATCAGCTTCGCTATGTTTGGTGGCTTGATTTATTCAGGTAACTGATGATGAATTATGACTATTGATTTTAAAATACCCTGTTGCAGCAAACCTGCAGACTAAGCAAATTTCCATTTGCCTGAATTGATTTTAAATTAAATCTATTTAAATTAAACCTACCTAGGTTTGCTACTACAGGGAGGCTAATATATTAGTGTTTTTTAGTAAATTATTAATAGCTTAGATTAAAATAAATAATTTGGCCAAGTTTGATCAAAATATATCAACAAACAAGCAAACTACAACATTTTACACTATTCTCCATAAGAATAACATAGGAATTTTAAATTTACTGTTAGCAAATTTCCCAAATAGGGAATAAGCTATTACCGTAGGTCTCATGGTAAGATCTAGACCCGGGACCGATTTACTTTTTCATTTTTAGGTCCCCAGAGGCCAAAAACACCTTCCGTTCAAATTCATATATATACGTGTCCGTTAAAGCGATAACTCAAGCAAAAATTATCGAATTTTGATGTAATTTGATACAAACCTGTAAACCTATGTTCATTTGAACGAGTTCGCAAGCCAGCATAATTGGACTATGGGAACGGGATTTTATGGGGTAAAAATGGATTTTTCCCATTTTGACCCTAAAACACAAATTTTTAATTTCTCTCTAGACGATTTTGAAGAGCTTAAAAAAACAAATAATTTAGTATATTGAAGTGTTTTTGTATGTTGATATTGATTACAGAGAAAATACAAAAAATTGTAAATTTAAAATTCCCATGTTTTTCTTGTGGAGAATAAATTAACTGTTGTAGTTTGCTTGTTTATGGATACATTTTAATCAAATTTGGCAATTTTGTTTATTTTATACTAATCTTTCAATATTACAATAATAATAAAAAAAAAAAAAACACACCTCAATATCTTCCCTGTATCAGCAAACCTAACTAGGTACTCACTAAAATTAATGCTATTTTTAAATAGGAAATAAATCTGACAATAGGCCTATTTAGGGAATAGTTGTGTAGAAATCAAGCCGGGTAAATGGAAATTCGCTTAGTCTGCAGGTTTGCTGCGACGGGGGTTAAAAAAAAGTCTTCGTAACTAATAACTAGGGATGGGTCGATTCCATCTTCGATTCTCGATTCCACCGATTCTTGGCTTAGAGTCGGAATCAGGAATCAATCACATAAAGTCGATTCCGATTCCTTCGATTCTGCCGACTAGTTCATTAGCTTATATGGATTATTGTGCAATAAAGCTTATTGTAAGTTTGTATTTATTCTTTGATTCGTCCTCCTTAACTGTAAGAAAATGCTGATTAAGAAACTTTCCATTCTGCACTGTCATACTTGTCGTCAATAAGCGGACGAAAGACTGAGACTGAGAGACTGACTGAGACACGACGGTCGACGACTTGACATAAGCGCGGCAGCTCAGATGAGTCGAATCTGAATCTTGAATCCACCCAATCCTAAGATAAGATTCGGATTCGAGATTCGATTAACGAGATTCAAGAATCGCTGGTTGAATATGCCGACTCGCCTCACCGCCACCCACCAGCTCTATCCATCTATAATAACGTCCGTGTATCAGCACAGCGAAAGCAGTAGCAGTGTCAATCTATGCATAGCTGGAACAAAGCCAAACTCAGTCTCAAAACTTAAGGCCATGGCTTGAATTACGTCTTAGTCAAATATTAATTGTATTTTAATAGGGATAGGTCGATAACAGAATTTCTCGATTCGATACCAGTTTTGAAATATTACTCAAGATTTTCGTTACACCGATTCCTTATAAAAACTCATATTTTTTTAAGGAAGTTGCCATGGTCAATGTTTTGTTGTTCCTTTAAATTCTGAATCAGACAACCGGCTTAGTTCATGCCGGCCCAAAATTATCGTGCGCTTTCAGTTATTTATTGTATCAAAGTGTCATAAGTAAACAGAATCAGGGAACCGCTCTTGCTTTTTACGAAACGAAATAGTCGTAGACTGAAAACATCCAAATGGAGGTATCACTGGCACGGCAACTCTGCTAGAAAATCGAGATGCTGTAAAACGTTGTAATGTTGGTACCACTAGAAGAATCAACCAGCTCATTGGCTGTTGGCAATTGCAATGCCCTAGTTCCAAAGTACTATTCCCCTAGTAAATATGGCGGCCAACGTCTCAATTCTTGCATTCAGTGCTACCTTTGGTTGTAGTTCTAGTTCAGTGCTATTGACCGTACCGACTTAACCGTGAATCTTGATTGCAATAAGTATTTGTCTGTGTTCGTGTGTGTGTGTGTAGACAGACACTGACATGACAGTGAAACTAGACGCAGATAGCACCGACAATTTAGATTTAGACAAAACGATTTCCGATCAACGCTCGACTGTGGATTGAATTAATGCATACTATTTAATATGTTATTTAAAATTTTTTTAACAGAGTATACTAACTGGATCGATCAACAAATTTAAAATTAACAAGTGTACCTACAACCATGGACTAGACACGTAAAGCGAGCTTCATAATTTACAATGGGATGTGAAGGCTACTAACTTGTGTTGTTTAACTTAGTCTATGGTTCAACCAGCTTACATGGAAAATAAAACAACCGTTTACAACCCTATTTCGTTTGCTTTAAATAAAATTTTACTTAAGAAAAAGTAAAACCCCTTTTTCTTTAGTAAAATTTTATTTAGGCTATAGCCTATTTTTGTCTTGGTAAAAAGTAGGCCTACCGACACCGCGACACCATTTTTTTTTGTCACACCATCGGTACTTTCGTCTTGAGCTTACTCAAAATTTAGCTATATTTCAACATTTGTGATGTTTTTCTTTTTCCTTTACTAATTTAAAATAACATACCATTTCTTAACGCACATTTTTGGCCTTGGACGACATGGTTTTGGCGTTGGTATGGCGCAATTAAGTAGGTGCCTATTACCTAACATAAAGTGATGTTATGGTTGAGGATGTTAAATTGGTTGAAATTAAAAAAATATTTTAATTTTAGGCTATGGAGGTTGAGATTTCTTTATTTCTTGATTTACGGCAGGGAAGTCCGTTCTACAGTAAATGACAGATCATTATTTAACTTTTCAAAATACAGAATTTTAACAGAAAATTTAAAAACCACCAAATTAAAAATATTGCTATACAAGGCCTGGGTCATGAGTGGTACATTATTAATGGTAGAGGGAAAAGGAAACGGTGATATAAAGTAAACACAATCATATAACTTTTTATTTTTGATTACATAAATTATAGTTTTTGTAGGCTTACATTTTATTATACCATAGACTAAATACTTACATAACATGCTGTCTTAAGTTGATTTCAAACTCAATTGAACTTAACAACTCTTTGATTTGAACCTAAAAATCACTATTAGCACACCCCTAGCTGTAAGTTAGTGTAGGGTTATGCTTTTATATCAACATTAATCTTGATTCATAATTTCAATTCTTTTATGTTAAATTTTTCTCGACAATATTAGGAGGTCAAGATAATGGTTATTTCGGTAGGCTATATATTTTCTTAACTTAATTTGTTCTGTGGATATGTTAAAGTACTTATCTCCATCACCCAATCATGACAATGTACTAGGCCTACTTGGGAATAATAGTTTTTTGTGCTGTAATTTATGTAAGGGTTCTATGCTTTTATATCCAGTAATCAAATTTAATTATAGAGTTTAAAAAAGTCATAAATTATTTGAATAATATACTTTTTAGTGAGTTGGGAAAATCTGGAAAAATTTTTTTACCATATTCAATTGGGCTACTTCTATGGTATTTTACTCATTAGGACTTTTTTTTCTTATTAGGTATCGGTGGAATCGGAATCGAGAATCAACAGAAAAAGAGGAATCAACCCATCCCTAATAACTGTACAAAAACTCCTTAACATACCAAATTATTAGTTTTTTTAAGCTCTTTGTAATGGTCTAGAAAGAAATCTGGAAATTTTTTGTTTTGAGGGTCAAAAATGAGAAAACTTAATTTTTACTCCATAAAATCTCCCATAAAAATCCCGTTCCCATGGTCTAATCATGCTGGTTTGCGAACTCACTCAAGTTTATCCCACCTTACACCTTCAATCCAAAAATTACTCAAGTTATCACGTTCACAGACACAATTGGCGTTTTTGGCCTCTGGGGATATCAAAATGAAAAAGTAAATCTGTCCCGGGCCTAGGTCTTACCGTGCCACCTATGGTAATAGCATTGACTATTGGATACAGAAGAAGACATCCCATCTATATGGATCAGCTGTCGCCAATTTTTTACCAAAAACTAATGTAGTTGTGTGAGCTAGTCACAGATTGCACTAGTGTCTAACACTATTTTGTACCTTATTTTTTGTTAGAGACATATTAACTGGGTCATAAAAGTTGCTATAGCTCATAATGTAGAAACCATCGTGTAATTGGCAGAAATCAGTAATTTAGATAAGCACAATCTGTAGGTGGCTCACATCAACTAGGACAAATTTGATCAAAAACCTGGCGAGAACTTTAACATGGGAATGGAATGTCTGGTTGTATTAATAGTCAAAGGTAATAGCTACTTCCCTTTTAGTCCACTGTCAAATGTACACCCGTGTGCTCCTTGATGAAGCAGGTGTGGGAGTAGTCTTAATCTCTTCGTTTGACCTTTGAGAAATACAATTTCGATGGTGGCAATATTGAAAATGATGCGTTTGAACGCTGTGGGTAAAAACAAAATGGCCGCCATTTAAAATGTTTAAAGTCAAATTCCATGAAAACCAGCTAATAAAACAAAATTTTGCAACACATTATTTAAAGTCCTTTTTATTACAAATCGAATGACACTTTATTTGCGAAAATCGGATAATAAATGAAAAAGTTATGTAACTTTTATTATTAATGGTAATTATCAAAATGGCAGTCATTTTGAAATGACAAAGTTAAATTCCATAGAAACTAGTGACAAAAACATAATAAAAGTTACATAACTTTTTTATTTATTATCCGATTTTCACAAATAAAGTGTCGTTCGATTTGTAATGAAAAGGACTTTACATATTGTGTTTCAAAGTTTTGTTTTTAATTCTGGTTTTCATGAAATTTGACTATAAAGAATTTTAATGGCCGCCATTTTGAAATTCGATGAGCCTGATCAAAGATTTTTTCGGTGCATGTTTATAGTTGTAGACTTAAAGTTTATACCAAGTTTCATAAAAATATCTCTAAGGGCTTTTGAGTTATGAATTATTTTCAAAAAATACAAAATGGCGGAATTCGGCTTAACTAAGCCGAAATCGAAACAATGTTATACTACATTTTCGAGTTATTTTTGCACATAGAATCTGAATCTGCATAGCCCATCACGCTTTACTGAAACACCCTTTATTACTTTTTGAAATATTTAACTGTCCTGGGACATTACATCCACCCTGATTAATTTTATTGATGAAAAATATAAAATTATGTTTTATGAAAGAATGGTTGATCCTACATAAAAACTGTAATAACCTTTTTTGTGCAGATTTAAAATAGCTACATTTTGGTATCAAAAATTTTTTCATAACTCTAACGGTTACTGATATAAGTAAGAAAACAAGTTTGTGATGGCGGCCATTTTGTTTTTTACCCACAGCGTTCAAACGCACCATTTTCAAGAGTGCCACCATCGAAATTGTATTTCTCCAAGGTCACACGAAGAGATTAAGACTACTCCCACACCTGCCTCATTAAGGAGCACACGGGAGCCTGTATATGTACATTTGACAGGGGACTATTTAGGGAAATTCGCTATTATACAGAAGTCATTCAGAACTTTGTAACTTTTGTTGACCAAGGAAAATTGACATTTCATATTGCATGTTTGTTGGAATAAAGTCTTTGATTTTGAATAAAACAATCATACAACTTATTTGATGTATTTCCCAGTGACAAGAACTAGAATATTTGATTATTGAATGTTTGTTACCTTATAGCCTTTGTTCTTGTAGAAAGATGTTAAGATCCTCCAATATATTTCGCCACAGTGTGTGGCATCATCAGGGAGACAAAAAGAAACTATTTACACATTTTATACATAGTTTATATACACATCACAAGATCGTACGCTTACGTCGCGGCGACTTCGCGGGCGCGGACGCGCGACGGACATCTGTAGGGGATCACACTAGTACCGTCACCGTCTTTGTTCACTGACCTACTGCTGAGAAGGGTTGGTTTTGCGGGTTGAGAGTCTATGCTTTGTTGGGGTGGGAAACTTTCACTATTGCGGGGTTGCCAAATCGTTCGTAAATTTACATTGTTGCCGGTTGGTGCTGTATTTTCTATGTCGTAAATGGTTTCAAAAATGACTGAACTGTTGTATTCTTCTTTTTTATTAAGTACAGTCCAACCTCAGTATAACGAATCTGAAGGGACCGAACTGAATATTCGTTATATCAAGGATTTCGTTTAAACGAGGTTCGTTATATAGCAGGTTATGTTTGCAGGAATTTCGCTAAGTCAAGGTTCAGAACCAGCGTCGGTCAATATAGGTCGGGATTAGACATCATTAAAACACAATTAAAGTACAGTAGCATATGCTACAATACTTTGCAGTACAGTGTTTACATTGTACAGTAGAACCTAAATTATCCGGCATAAAAAAGGGGAGGGATCTTGAATATTGCGCAATCATGAAAATGGCATTGACCTTGGTACAGGTTAAAAACTGTAAGTTTAAAATCACAGCTTGTTCTAACCCTCCTAAAACCTAGCCAAACACTGTATTGCGTAGTCATAAACCATGTAAAGAACAAAACAAAACAGTAGTAGAAAGTTTTGTAAGCTACTGATCGTGATAGGCCGGTAGGCTACTTACAGTACAGTACTGATTTATCACAACAGAGGAATGTCAATAATAATCATTAACTATAGCATTGGTGTTGCTAGTTGAAACAAATCGTATTGAAAAGAATAAATTATTAGATAAGTCATTATAAAAGTGTATAATCATAGCCAACTTAGATAATAAAAACTCTCGAAAAAGGAATGTTAAAATAACAATGTTGCTATTCTTTCTCTTTGGTTTTGTTTTTATATTCTTTCTTAGGTTTCTCTTTATCCAAAAATTATACAATTCACCATAGCTACTTATCGCCCAATCACAGCTTACTAAACATTACGTCGTCATCAGTCTTCAGTGAATGAAATCAGTTCTCAGTTGCAACATAACTGCGCGCAGCGACAGCAGACAGAAGAGTGTAAAACGGAGCAGACGAATGTTAGCGCAAGCGATGACGTCACCTATCCATTTCATTTGATAAAGAAACAGATTTTTCAAAAACAATAATGGGGTGGGGGATTTGTTATATCGAGGGAAAGACATAGACAATTCGTTATGCAGAGGTTAAATTCGCAATGTAGAGGTTCTGACAATGATAAATTCGCTATATTGAGGTGTCTTATTTTAGCCAAAATCGCGAAAAATTCGTTAAATCAAGGTCGTTGTTATGGTCTGTTCGTTATGTAGAGGTAAATATACATTGTGTCTTATGGAGAGTTCTAGGGGATTTAAAAAAAATCGTTATATCAAGGAATTCGTTGTATCGAGGTTCGTTATATCAAGGTTAGACTGTAGGTTGTCTGGTCCATTTTTGTTGACGTGTTTGTAAATTTGGTAGCTCTCTTGTACTTTAGCTATTGTTTTGGAAAGAGTGTAGTTTAGTACTGTCAATGAATCAGGGAATGTTATTTTGTGGGTAGGATTTTGTTTAAGATGCTTGGCCACTATTGAGGTTGGATTATTATGATGGGCAGTGTTGTGCTCTTTGAAACGCTTATCAAAAGTTCTGTTGGTATATCCTATGTATTGTTTATCACAGGGAGAGCATGTGATTTTGTATACGCCTTTTTGCTCCTCTATCGATTGGTCTGTGGTGACATTTAAATTATAGTTTGGTACCGGGTTGGTTTTAACTTTGTATTCTGGATTGTATCCTGTTTTTTTGAATATTCTTCCAATCTTTTCTGTGGTTTTGTCGATGTATTGGATGGATACATATTTCGGTTTTGTGGGTCCAGTATCAATGGTGTTATTGGATGTGATAGGTTGTTCTCTATTTATTTTCTTTTTCATTCTGTTGATTATCGTGTCAACTATTGTATCCGTTGTTTTTGGCAATGTTTTGAATTATGTTTTTTTCTTTATTGTATTCATCCTGGTTTAGGTTGTAGTTCAGGAGTCTATAAACTAAGGAACGGAAAACTGCCAGCTTTTGGTTGTATGGGTGGTTAGAATCTGCAGGAATTACAAGGTCAGTCTGTGTGGGTTTTCTGTAGATTCCAAATTGTAGGCTTGAATTATTTTTGAATATCTTAAGGTCCAGGTGGTTTGTGGATTTATTATTTTCTGTTTCCATTTTAAATTTAATATTGGTGTGTATTTTGTTGAGGTAGTTGAGGACAAGGGTAGCTTGACGTTGGTTACAATAAAGAATTATGAAGGCGTCATCCACATATCTTGCATAGAATTTAATTTTGTGTTAAAGAAGGGGTTGTCGAGAGACAGTATGTGCTTTTCTTCAAAATGCTGCATGTATAGTTCAGCCAATGTGGTGGATAAAGGACCTCCCATTGGTAATCCTTTTGAGTCATAATATGTAATATGTGTCATAATATGGGCAAAACCAACCCTTCTCAGCAGTAGGTCAGTGAACAAAGACGGTGACGGTACTAGTGTGATCCCCTACCCGCGCTCGCGTTCGCGAAGTCGCCGCGACGTAAGCGTACGATCTTGTGATGTGTATATAAACTATGTATAAAATGTGTAAATAGTTCTTTTCGTCTCCCTGATGATGCCACACACTGTGGCAAAATATATTGGAGGATCTTAACATCTTTCTACAAGAACAAAGGCTATAAGGTAACAAACGTTCAATAATCAAAAAAATCATACAACTGTAGTGTTATCTTATGGTGGATTTATTGAAATTGATCAGAAGTACTTGAGTGTATCAAGAATCTAGGATATTTGGGCCAAATGGGAATCGCCACATTACTATTCCTAAAGTAAAGTAAATCCATCAAATTTCGGACACCTACCAAATATTGTACAGTTAGTTAAACTTTGAACAAGAATAATAAGATTAATTGCTGATATTAATCTATGGAACAAACGTCCTGGCATTTTTGATTCAGCGAGAAACCGCTGCTATGTACCATAGTGGCAGCATTCCTTTTTCTGGTCTAAAAGAAGTAGGTTACTGGAGATCATATCATACATTTGACAGTTCCTCCGATTAATATTGTTAAATGGCCTGTGTATGAGACCAACCAACGTAATTTTATTTGTCACCGGAAGAGGAAACTAGACTGGATGTGTTTGGATACAAGAACTGGCCAAATATAAATTTCCAGTAACTAAAGAACAACCTTACTATGGATAAGAATCTATTACTTTCACCAGCAGGGTGTCAAATGTAGATGTAGAAGGGGGTTGAATTTAAAATTAATTTAAAAAATCATGAAAATCTGTCAAGTGGTTTATTCAGAGTCTTGAAATAAAAAACTTGTTACGTTATAATAGTATAGATTGTTTTTTTAAATCACATATGTTTTTAAATAATTTTTTAGTCACTCATGGTGAAAATAATTGATAGTAAGGTTTTTACTTGATCAAGACCCTTAGGTGGATGGTATTTGGTGGACTTACCGTGCTACAAGTTAGCCTATTATAATGCCAAGGAGCCAATGTATACTTTTAGATGTCATTAAAGGCTTAAAGAGCTCATAATGAGCGCAAGAAGATGTGATAGCTTAGCTTTATTTCTTATATTAGTGGCATTTAAGTTAAGTTCCAGATAACTTATTTTTATTTAATATTTAACTTAAATGATTTGTACATTATGCCTAAATTTAAAGATTGGTCAACTGATGATGGATATGTTTCAATCCCTAATACACTCAGTTCATGTAATTAAAATAGGTAATACAATTCTCACCTTTTCACAGGATATTTGTTGCCTGAAGAGGATGACATCTCTGGAATGCTAGGCGATGAAGAAGAATCAGAAGAAGAAGAAGAGGAAACCGGTATGTTGATTAACTTTTTTTAAATCTAAGATTTACCACAGAAATTAACGTTTACAACTTGATTATCTCTTATCTAAAGGAAATACACTATTCATTTTTTGGCACATTATCTCTTTGTGGCCAACCAAAATAAATACGGAGGCTGTTCAGAAAGTAAAGAACGTTTTGGAATAAAATAAAAAGTTTTACAAGAAAAAAAACAAGTTTGTACATGTTTGAAGTACAGTCCACCCTCGGTATAACGAATCTGAAGGGACCGAACTGAATATTCGTTATACCAAGGATTTCGTTAAAATGAGGTTTGTTATATAGAGGTTAGGTTTGCAGGAATTTCGCTAAGTCGAGGTTCAGAACCAGCATCAGTCTATATAGGTTGGGATTGGACCTCATTAAAACACAATTAAAGTAGCATAGGCTACAATACTTTACAGTGTACAGTGTTTACATTGTAAAGTAGAATCTCGATTATCCGGGATACTAAAGGGGAGGGAACTTTAATATTGCGCAATCATGACATTTATAGTCATTGACCTTGGTACAGGCTACAAACTTTCAAATATCTGGTTTTACAATACCTTTATCAGTTCCAAAAGTAACTTTCGTCAACGTGTGTTACATGTTTCGGCGAGCTGCCATTGTCAAACACTTCAATACAGGAAGATGTAGATCCGTTTGAATAGCTTCGTTTTCACAACACATTACACGACATACAACATTATACACGACACGTACGACATAAAAACAATAAAAATGTAGTTTGATAGGCCTATCATGAATACGCAACATTGCCGGTACACGAGCGGAAACAGACTGTCGGTGGAGGGTTCAAGTCAGCGCTATCTGGTTGAATTATCTTCGTTATCTGTTGTGGTCAGCTGATCAGATTTGTTTCCTTGTTGTAGTAGCGTGTTAAAAATTATATTTGACTTAAACTAAAACTGGAGTTTGTCATTCAGGATATGGTTGTTGGAATCCAGATTTTTTATTGATTTGTATATTTCAAACTCCTCCAAGACGTCCATTTTATTTCCCTTTTGACAGTAATGTAGTATTTGCAGACCGGTGTTAATGTCATTCATATCGTGATTACAGTCAATAAGGTGTTGGGCAAATGTTGATTTTTGTGTGTCTGTTCTCGGGTCTGGGCGGTGTTCTTTATAGCGGGTTTACATTGGACCCGTTTGTCCAATGTAAAAGCTCGGGCATTCGGCACAATTTATTTAATAAATTCCTGTTGAACTGGATCTATCGGTTTTGTTGTTATGGATATTGTCCTTTAAGATATTATTTACTTTGTTACTTGTTCTAAAAGATAAGGTGATGTTGTTGTGTTTTAGATGTCTCTTGAGGTTGTACTGGATGTTTTCATTGAATTCAACACAGACATATTTTTTATCAGGTTGACGGGGTTTTGCTTCGTTTTTCCGTTTGAGCTGGTTGCCGATGAGTTTATCAATTAAACCATCTTGGTATCCATTTGAAGCGGCAATAAATTTGATAGTTTCCAATTCTATCTTGTAATTCTCAGTATTTAGAGGGACATTTAACAATCTGTGAATCATACTATTGTAAGCAGCTATTTTTTGTGAGCAAGGGTGGTAGGAAGTTGCATGAATCGTTTGTGTTGAAGTAGTGGGTTTGCGATAGATGTTGTATGATAATTTTTTGTCTTCAGTTTTTTCTAATGTTAAATCTAAAAAGTTTATCTTGTTTGATTTTTCTACCTCAAGTGTGAATTTCAATTTAGGTGCGATGCCGTTCAAGTAGTTTTGGAGTAGTTCTAATTGCCTGGCATTGCCGTTGAATACTACTAGAGTGTCATCAACGTATCTGAAATAAGATACTATTTTCCCTTTATATTTATTTTGATCTGAAAATATGTATTCTTTTTCGATGTGATTTAGATAAAGGTCAGCTAGTATGCCTGATAACGTGGAACCCATTGCAAGGCCATCTGTTTGGGTGTTATCGTTGAACGATAATCGTAGAGAGACTGCTTAGCATTGTTTTCAATGGCACCGTTGTCACTGACGCGACTGACGCAGTCGTAGACGGCTATCGTACGGGTCTGCTCCTGGAGCAGTCAGAGTCCCAGTCGTTGGACGATTTTTGAGGAATTTATAGATTTTTGTTGCCATTATACGTTATTTTCATCATCACTTATCTCAGTTATGAGTTAATTTAACTCCTTATAATAAAATACAATACAATAATAAGTCATGTTTTAGTTTTTACCACTCAGGGTGTCTAGTAGTCGGGAAAATCGGGAAAGTCGGGAATTAGTATTGAATTTCAAAATGGTCTTGAAAAGTCGGGATTTAGTCTTAAATTTGATTTCAAAGTCGGGAATTTTTATGATTTTGCCGCGATCGTCGTCTTCCGTTTACGTAACCGCAAAACCCAATGATGATTGTCGAGAAATGTTTACGATTTTGCCGCGATAATGGACAACGACGATGCGTTTCCGAAACCACGGGAAACGACGATGACCTTTCCGTGATCGCGGGAAATGACGATGAAGTTTCTGTGACCGCGGGAGACGACGATGATGTCTACACGGCCGCGGGAAATGTTCATGATTTTGCCGCGATAGAGGACGACGACGATAACCTTTCCGTGACCGCTGGGGACGACGATAACGTTACCAAGACCGCGGAAGACGACGATTACGATTCCGTGACCACGAGAGACGACGATGACGTTTCCGTGACAGCAGGAGACGACGATAATATCTGCTCGGCCGCGGGAAATGTTCATGATTTTGTCGCGATCGCCGATGACGACGATGACGTTTCCGTGACCGCGGGAGATGACGTTGAAGTTTCCGTGACCGCGGGAGACGATGATGTCTACACGGCCACGGTAAATGTTCATGATTTTGCCGTGATCGTGGACCTTGACGATAACGTTTCCGTGACCGCGGGAGATGACGGTGATGTCTAAACAGCCGTGGGAAATGTTCATGATTTAGCCGCGATCCCGGATGATGACGTTTCCGTGACCGCGGAAGACGACGATGATGTCAACACGGCCGCGGGAAATGTTCATCATTTTGCAGTGATTGCGGACGTTGACGATAACGTTTCCGTGACCGCGGGAGATGACGATGATGTTTCCGTGACCGCGGGAGATGATGGTGATGTCTAAACAGCCGCGGGAAATAATCATGAATTTACCGCGATCCTGGACGACGACGATGACGTTTCCGTGACCGCGGGAGACGACGATGATGTCAACACGGCCGCGGGAAATGTTCATGATTTAGCCGCGATCCCGGATGATGACGTTTCCGTGACCGCGGGAGACGACGATGATGTCAACACGGCCGCGGGAAATGTTCATCATTTTGCAGTGATTGCGGACGTCGACGATAACGTTTCCGTGACCGCGGGAGATGACGATGACCTTTCCGTGACCGCGGGAGATGACGATGACGTTTCCGTGACCGCGGGAGATGACGATGACGTTTCCGTGACCGCGGGAGATGACAATGAGGTTTCCGTGACCGCGGGAGATGACGATGACGTTTTCGTGACCGCGGGAGATGATGTTGAAGTTTCCGTGACCGCGGGAGATGACGATGACGTTCGTGACCGCGGGAGATGATGGTGATGTCTAAACAGCCGCGGGAAATAATCATGAATTTACCGCGATACCGGACGACGACGATGACGTTTCTGTGACCGCGGGAGACGCCGATGTCTACACGGCCGCGGGAAATGTTCATCATTTTGCCGTGATTGCGGACGTCGACGATAACGTTTCCGTGACCGCGGGAGATGATGATGACGTTTCCGTGACCGCGGAAGATGACGTTTCCGTGACCGCGGGAGTCGACGATGATACCTGCTCGGCCGCGGGAAATATTCATGATTTTGTCGCGATCGCGGACAACGACGATTACGTTTCCGTGAATGCGGGAGATGACGATGAAGTTTCCGTGACCGCGGGAGATGACGATGAAGTTTCCGTGACCGCGGGAGATGACGATGAAGTTTCCGTGACCGCGGGAGATGGCGATGAAGTTTCCGTGACCGCGGGAGACGACGATGATGTATACACGGCTGCGGGAAATGTTCATGATTTTGCCGTGATCGCGGACGACGACGATCACGTTTCTGTAACGGCTGCAGTCAATGATGATGTCTAAACGTACAGTACACGGAAGATTTCATGATTAAAAAAACCAAATTTGCTAGTTATAATTTTTTATTGCTGCATTATTTCTTTACTTGAAAACACCACATTGTCATAATACTACTTTATGACAAAGACGATGAGTTGGTGTAGTATTATTTAGAAAATTTGGTTAAGCTATAAAAATTGGTATCGGTATCAAGAATCGAGAATCGATACATTTTGGTATCAACACCCACTAATTGTGGAAAAAACTAGTCTTGAAAAATCTGGAATTAGTCTTGAAAAGTCTTGAATTAGTCTTGAATTTTATAATGGAAATAAACTAGACACCCTGACCACTGTAATATAAAAATGTAATATACTTTGAATTATTGCTTTTTACGTCAATTTGTTACTGAGATATTAAAAGTGCTAAATCTATTGATATTTTCATAAAAACACATGTTTGTGATCCTTGTTGCAGCAAACCTGTGTACTCAGCCCCAATGTTATTCGTATGGAGAATAATTAACATGTTATACATCGCTTTATTGTTAACAAGTTTAGTGCTGATGACGGGAATTCCCGATATTGCTTAGGATTGAAATAAATGCAAATATCATGTTTAAACATGTCAACCGCACTATTGATGTTAATGGATTTTTATAATACTAGGTAACTGGTTTTGTGTGGTAGTAAGACACACATAAAAATGCATTGGAAACTCCCTGAGTACGCAGGTTTGCTGCAACTGGGGAATTAATATATTTATATTTTTAACATGTTTTCTTCTAAAAAAAACTAGCATTCTAATAGTTTATTAGCTAAATACAAAATGTAATGAGTATAAATAAACTATCCTACCTTAACGTAAGAGCAAA